CAATCCCTCACACTAAGCATGCTTGTAGCGACAGTGGAGAGGAAAAACTCCCTTTGAACAGGAAGAAACCTCCAGAAAAAACAACAAACTATGCAGTTTTTGTTTTGAAATATCTGCCCATCAGTTAAATTGTTGTGCTGTCACGTGGAATATGAGTTTTAACTTATAATTTCAACTTATTAGTTACAATAACTGTACCAGACTATTGATGGGGGAACCACATAAGATCGTTCCCATCTTCTGTTTTTGAACAAACCCAGTATGTTTCCAATTCCCCCGGTCCTCTCTGTGAGGCCTGGACCAGCTGCTTCTGATGAGTTCCTCTTTCACACCAGCAAATATTTTCCATCCAAGATAAATGGTGATGATTGTGTGGTGTTTAAAGGGAGAGAGAAAACTTCTATAATAAAATATCTGGACCAGAAAGAACTTTGGGGAAAAAAACAACACATTTCTTTGCTCTTGGGGAATCTTGTCTAAAACATTTTATTGAAATATGTTTTTTTAGCGCTGCATAAGTCAAACAAAGTTTTGCAAACTACAAATCAAGGTTCCCCCGCAGACACGATTGAATTTCTATTCCTCCAGAAGCTAAACTCCCTCTTAAAGCAGTGCTCATATCAGGTTTTTATTTAGAATATTAGTTGGAAGGAAACTTTTCCTCTTATTCACATTAATCCAATGTGCAGCAATGTTTAATGACTCCAGTCTAAAGTAGTGCAGGTGCACACCACATGTAAAGATCCTCACACAGTGTAACCTGAACCTGACTCCTTACCGTCCTCTTGACCGACATCAGCACCTAGCCGGTGGTTGATGTAATGCATGAGAAACCGCTGATGAATCATAAAATCCTGCTTACATCAGGAAGCTCTTAGCCTACCAGCCACAATTAAACATAGTCCACCATTAAACCTTCCAGATAACCTTAAATTGTCTGTCTGCTCAGGCTGGAAGTCTCCTGCTTTAGGTAACCGCAGCAGGCAACAGATGCTTCCAAACTTTCCGTCTACGTGTCCGGCAGCTCGTGCATCAGCCTTGTGAAACATACAGCAAGCGTTCAGCCAGTAGGGGAACGGAGCCAGGAGCAGAAGCAGTTTCATAATCTTTGCCCTGAGGCTTTTATAAACATACTGGGCTCCCTAAAAGGGAGAAACTTCACTTTGAATCATTTAGAGATTTTGTTAACTTTTAAAACAGATTAAATATTAAAATATATGGCAAAAGGTCCAATATAACTTAAACATTTTTAAATGCTGTTCAGCAAATGAGAGCACAGGGTTTTGGCAGTTTGCTGATCTAAACCATGCTCTGAGGATG